TTTGCGATGGTTATCTCCCAGGCCTAGAATACCCTCTTTGTCTCTTAGAATCATAGGTTTCTATCAAAATTCAGTTCAAACACAACCTTCATAGATGACTGCTAGTGCTTTCCCTGTAAGGTTAGCTTGTATCTACTTTCTAGGAATCTTGTATATACCCAAAGATGGACACGTTAGTTACCTAGCAAGAATGTAAGTTCCTTAATGGCAAGGGCAGCTGATGGCACAGTGCCTGGCACATAGTAGTATAGTAAATGCTTGGTGATTGACTGGATTGTCAAACTACTGAAGTAAATACTGAGATAATCACCCATACTTTAACAAAAAAAGTTTCTTACATGTGTGTACAAAGCATGTTTTCTTGCTTTATCAGGGATTTTTAACAATTTTTGTGTCACAGACTTGGTAGTGTGATCAAACCTATGGACCCCTTATCAGAACAATGTTTTTAAATGCGTAAAATACATAGGATTACAAAGAAAACAAACATTGCAATACAGTTTTCAAAATGTTTTAAAAAAAAGTTTAGAGCCCAAGTTAAGAATCCCTGCTTTAGAAAAATACATTACCAAGTAACGAATCTTTTAGAAATAAAAAAAAAAATTTCTTTTGGGAGACTATGAATAAACAAGGAAAGACAATAAAAAATAATCCTGTATAACCCAATATTTTAAGCTGACCAGACAGGAAAAAATACATTTCATATTCATAATTAAAACAATTAAAAATTCACACACATATGGTTGTTTTGTTAAAATAAATATATATGTTTCTTGTTGAAGAAAAATACTGACAATAAATAAGGTTGTTTTAGTTAAATGAGACCATTTAAATGTCCAGGTTTGGGAGGAGGTAGTAGTTGCAAAATCCATTTTTAAACAGCAATATTCTCCTGGGGATATAACTGTAAATGATGGAAACTGCAATTTCCAAAGAACTAGTATTGAAGCTGATCCAATGAACAATGGACACAATAAACATAAAGAGGCTTGAAGTATAGTAGCAATGATGACTTATAAACAAACTATTAAAAGGAAATGGTTGAGGAATGTAGCAATAATAAGTAATAACGAATGGATGGCCTAACTATTGCACTGGCACCTATATAATGTCAAAACCTAGAAAGAAGGCCTCTAGGATAGTAAGGGGGCATCACATTGATGTTTTATGGTAAAAGAGTCTCATAAAATGAAAAAATGACTTGGGGGATTTCTAACTCTGCCACTTAACTACTATTTATCTGTGTGACCTTGCGCAAGTCATTTAATATCTCATCTCTCTGCACTTTAGTTTCTTTATCTGTAAAAGGAGGGTATGAAATGAAATGACTTTTAAGTTCTGTTCTGTGACCTGGTTATAATCCACCCAGATTTATGAGATCATAGATCCATTCAAGAACAGAAGAATAAGTCCTATTCCTAATAAATAATAGTTTTAAAAGTGAAAATTGTATCATAATAGAGAATATTCAGCTTGGACTTTCTTGATAGTGAAACTGTTAGGTGTTAACTATAACATAAAGTAGTAGGTTTAGAAGAGACCTCAGAAATTGTATAATTCTTATTTTTATAGATGGAGAAACTGAGGCTCAAAGAAGTTAAGGGGTTTTCCTAAGGTTACAGAAGTTTTGAGTATAAGTCTTCCAATTCCAAATTCTGTGTTTCGTTTTGTTTTATTTTTCCCAATATACTGTGCAGCCACCAAGTAGCAGCAATCAAATTCATGAGCACAAATCAGTTCACCAAATCAGCCATCTATCAGAGAGCAAGGAATGTTTCCAGATAAAATGAAAAATAAAATTTTGTTAAGGAAAGTGAAGAAAGGAAAAGAGGGGCAAGAAAACACTAGAATGGGCACCAAAATGGAGACATCAAGTGGGGAAAAGGAAAGAAAAATTGAGTTGATTTCATAATTTAACTAAAGTGAATTCGTTTTGTAAAATAAATGAATAAATGAACTTATATTAAACAAAACTTAAAATATTGGATTACATGGTCTAATGGAAATTAACTCTACACCTTAATCTAAGTTGTAAATAACAGGTATTTAGGTTTTATCAAACAATGAGCATGCATTTTAAATCAAATCCATCCTAATAACCAGGTGCCAGGAAGGAAAGGTGAAAAGGTTAAAAGCCCTCAGATTTCATACTGACCTCTGTCCTAGGTTGCCCAGATCATTTTGTCCCTGGGGGCAAAAAGAGAGCCTGGGACCCAGGGCAGATGCTCTCTGTGCATTAATAAATACTACAACCACCTGAAGTCTCTTCTGGGCTGTTCCTCTTGTGAACTGACTTAGGCAAACATAGAGGAATAATAAGGTTCCCAAATAGCACATGCTTCCAAATACAAGAACAAAAACACCTTCCAAAGTCAATTCTAAGAGATGTAATGATTATGCAAACTACTGCAGGCCTTCATTAGCATAGACATTTGAAAGCTGATTGTTATTAATCATTACTATACCTGGGGTAAGCTTTGAAAAAAAAAATGCCAGGCATTTTAAAATTTGCTAAAATTTTACAAAATGCTAGGCATATTAAAATAATAGTCTAAGTTCATTTGTACCCTGATATCAATGAATGAGAATAATTTAAATTCAATCCAATGTTTATGTACACTCAGATCCATATTGCTCAACAAAGAATAGGGCCAACCAACTCTCTTGTCATTTTTATCATCACATCTCTCCTTCTCACTCACAGAGTCACAATTCTTTTTATAGGACCTCACCTCTTGGCTGGATTATGTTAGGGCCAAACTGGCTTTCTGCAAGTTCCTCACAAATGACACTCCATCTCCCATATCTCTTCCTTTGCACTGGCCATCCTCTCATGCCTGGAATGAACTCCCTCCTCACCTCAAAGAATTCCCATCTTTTTTCAAGATGTAGCTCAAGTATCATCTTCCACAAAAGGCCTCTCCTGTTCCTCCCAACTGCTAATGCCCTCCCTCTTTAACTACCTTTTAAGTTATTTTGTATTTCTTTAGTATATATCTATATATGTTCATGTTGACTCCTGAAACAGAATGTAAGCTCTTTAAGAGTAAGAATTTTTTCATTTTCTTGTATTTGTATCTGCATCCCCACCATAGTAATTGACAGACTGCACTTGCTTTTTGGTAGCTTGTTCATAGAATATAAATCTGCTACACTCCTAAGGTAAAATTAGTTGTGACTCAACCCACCTCATATATTGTGGAAACTACAAAAGCAAACAAAAGCATGGTGACTGCCCATTAGTTATTTTAAATTTAGAGACCACCCATCACATTGGTAAAAATAACCAAAAAACAATGAAACCCAATGCTGGAAGGGTTGTTACAAAACAGGTACATACATACATTAATGGTGAAAATAAAAGTTTATACAATATTTTGGAGAGCAATATGACAGCATGCAATCAAATCGCCAAAAAAATATCCTTTCTGCCTCAATAGTTCCATTGTTGGGAATATATCCTGAAAAACAAGAAACGTGCTACACATTCAAGGATTTTCATTGCAAGTGTTACTTGCGATTGAAAAAAACTGGAAGCAACTTAAATGTACAAAAACAGTGGAACTGTTAAATAACTTGTGGAACATTAATGTCATGGAATTCTATAATATAATCAAAACTAATACGTATGAAGAATATGAAGAAATTTTGAAAAATCCTTATGAAACAGTGCAAATAGAACAAAACAGTACCAGAAGAAGAGAGGACAAACTATGACTTTGTACAATTGATTCCTATTTACACGTATTCTGAAAAGGATTGGCTAGATATATTTCACAGTAAGGTACACAACATTACTTGCTACTTAGCTACCTATGGCTACTCTACATATTACATGTGGCTCTAAAACCAGAGAAAACAACTGTACAACTCTAATTAAAAACATGTGTATTGGCTCATTCATTCCTTCACTGAGGCGGAGACAAGCTAGGAAAAGTGAGCTCCAGGAAAGGTGGCAGCAAAGTAGAAAAATCATCAGATGTCACCTCTCCACTTACTTGCCTCTGCATACCTGGGCAAGTCATTTAACATTTCTAGGTCTCCAAATAAGGAAATTGGACTAGATGACCACTGGGATCCCTCCAGCTCTGGATCCTATGAAATAAGTTGTTTCATATCCCATTAAATTCAAAATGGTGCTTTATCAGAAGTGAAGCGTCATGTAATCCAGTACTTTCATAGCAGTTTCATGTCAATGTCACCATACCACTAAAAACTGGAAAAGCCTATTGCTGACTTAATAGATGCTGCCACCAATAAATAGATTATTAGAGCTCCACAGACCAAGTTTTCCTCCTAGTATCACTTACACATCACAGAGTTTGCCAGTACTGCCACCACCATCAACCATTCAGAGTTTTGCAGTACTGGTCTATATAATCCCCATGAATTTCAATTCAATAAAGGTTAATTAAACACCTACTACTTATATGTGCAAGACCTGATAGTACGCACTAAGGATACAAAGACAAAAAAAGTAAATAGTTCTTGCCTTAAAGGGCTTATTCACGTCCAACTTCCCTTGAACTCCCATCCTGGGTCATAGTTGTTTCACTTTATATGAGTATTAGGTTATAAATCAGGGACCTAATGCCACTTCTGCCACTGAAACCTAAATAAGCAAGTCACAAAATCTCCATGTGCCCCAGTTTCTGATGGTAACAATTTTCACTCCTAGATAACTCACAATGTTTAAGGATAAACACCATTTCTTTGAAATTGTTTTGAAATAATTACGGTGATTATAACTACCTATGATAAAGAGAAAATGACTTATTTTGAAAGGCAATGTGGTATAGTGTTGACTGAATTGGACTTGGAATGAGACCTGAGTTGGAATCCTGCTTTTAATGCCTACTAACTACATGGGATGAGCAAGACACAAAACCTCTCTAAACTTCATGGAAAATGAGGTTAATCATTTATGTAATATATCTATCTTACAAGGCTGTTATGAAGATCAAATGGAATGAAGTATGAAAAGTACTTTGTCAACTTACCAATACCAACTATTAATTATTTGATGAGATGTACCACAAAGTCGGTTGTCCTGAAAAAAAAACACAATTTTCCCATACACCTTTTCAAAACACTGGGGGAAACTTAACATGTCAATACAGCACAGTTTGTCAGTAATACTGTCACCCTCTACCTCTCAGCATTATGGTGAAGAAATGACAAGCAAACTTGCCTTGAGAAAATATCATACCATATTCTAACTGGAAAGGAGAATAGTATCTCAAATTCATTTCAAAGTAAAATAGTATTAATAACAGTTAATTTATGCAGTGCTTTCCATCTTAAAACATTCAAAACAACTCTGTGAAGTAGGCAACAACAAGTATTAAGCTAGCCCTATTTCACAAATGAAGAAATGGAGGGTGAAGGAGTTTATCAGTGACATAAGCATCAGTGTCAGCACCAGCCACAGCTTTTTTAATTATTATTATTTGACCAGATCTGTGTCTTCATCATCTGAACAGGAGCTCCAGCTGAGGATGCAAGCTCCACATTTAGTGTCAGAGAGTTGTATGGGGCCCTGAGAGGTTAAGTAACTTGCCCTGTTACACAGATAATCTGAAGCAACTCTTCTGACTCCAAGTCCTGTACTCCTACAATCCAACAGCTATTTTTGAAAATAAGTTCAACTAAGATGATGTGATATTAAGGTATGTCAGTCCATTGAAATTTACTACAAAGCCCATTCATCTTCAAACTAAAAAGCAGCACAGTGTATTACAGTGGTTCTCAAAGTTGGTACACCACACTGTTTAAAAGGATACTTGAGGTCAAAACTATTTTTCTAATGTCTTAATTTCTAATATGTCAAAAACTGATAGTTATAGCCTACATGAAGGGATCCTCAATAGCTTCTAAGAGTGTAAAAGAGTTCTCAAAGTGTGGTCCCCAGACTTTTTCAGGGGGTCCTGAGGGCAAAAATGTTATTATTTCATAATAAGATGTTTTAATTTCTACTATGGCAAAAAAAAATGAATAAATATAGCCCACATAAAAAGGATCTTCAATAATTTTTGAGAGTGTAAGAGTTCTCAAAGTGTGGTTCTCTTTTTTTTTTTTTAAGGCAATTGGGGTTAAGTGACTTGCTCAGTGTCACACAGCTAGTAAGTGTCAAGTGTTTGGTCTGAGGGCAGATGGGAACTCAGTTTGAGCATCTCTGGTGTACTTGATAAAGTGCCAGTTCATCTCAGAAACAGAAGAGCTGGGTTCAAGTGTGGCCTCTGACAAAATCTGGCTCTGTGACCATGGACAAGTCACTTAACCTCTCAGACTCTACCAACTATAAAATGTCTAACAGCTGACGTGCGTGGGTAGAAGAAGTTTCCTTACGGGAAGAGTTCCCTGCGCTAAGAACTCATGAACTCGGGCCCCGGCCCCTCTCCCCCAAAAGAGAGCACCGGCCAGCTCAGGTCCCGCGGGGCGCTCCCTGCCCCGCCCCCGAGATCGCTGCGGGGGGGCAGAGGATTCGGGGTCCGTTTGTGGACCCTCTTCTCCGGGAGCTCCTGCCCTGGGCGCACTCACGCTCCGCACCAAGCGAAATCACAAATAAGTCTCCCCGCCTTCCCGGGGCACATATGACACCCCGCGACCCGGAGCCGAGGTCGTCGCTGCGACCCCTTCCTCGGCGCCCGGAACCCTGTCACCCGGAGCCCGGCTGGGCGCGATCCCGAGAGCCCTGGGGGCCCCTCCCCTCGCGCTCCCCGGGCCCCAAGACGGCACGAGCCCGGCCCGGCCCGGCCCGCGGAACAGCGGCCGCCGCGCCCAGGCACCTACCTGGGCTAGACCCCTGCCGGGGGGACCGCAGAGGCAGGGAGGAGCGAGGCGCGGGGGGAGGGGGCGTCCCAAGGAGGTCGGGGAAGGGGAGGGTCAGGGGGCGGGGCGCCTCACCATCTCCGGCCGGACTCACTCGTGCGCTTGTTGTGATCTCAGCTCCCCGGATGCGGCGCCACTGCCGAGTTCAAGTTGCACTTCCGGGGTCCTCGGCGAGCCTCTGACGTCATCCGGCATACGGCCGCCAACCCGGAAGCGTACGGTGCGCGTGCGCGCGGCGGCGGCCTCTGTGACGGTTATCGGCGGCGTGCGCACACGCTCTGAGCCTGGGAAGCCGGGGATCCACCGGAGTCCTCTTCCTCCTCTCGGGATGGAGCGCAGCAGGCGCCGCAGCCTTGGTCCCTCCGAGTGGGGAGGCTTCGGTCCGGCGTCGGGGCCCTGGGAGTGGGGCGGGGGTCTTCCTGAGTCTCCGGTCCCGAGCCGGGAGAGGGCGGCCGGGGTTGCCTCCAGCCGCGGCCCGGAGGCTCGTCCTCCCGCCGGCGGATGAACCTGCGCTCTGGGCGCTCCTGTCCCAGAACGGGGAGAGGAGAAGCACTCGCCTCAGAGGCTTGGGTTCGAATCCTGCCCCTGCCGTGCGCCTCAGTACAAATGCAACGCCCGCCGTGTAGGTGCTTAGGGAAGTCACCCGGGCCTCAGTTGTCCCATCTGTCTAGCCCAAAGCCCGTTCCCCTCCTCAATCTAGGATCCTGTGACTTTTTAAGATCCCTTTCACCTTAAATCTGATTCTTCAGAAGCTGAGCCTCGGACATGGAAATTTGGCGAAATTAAGCCGTTTTTAGTCAATTGAGAAGAGACAGTTTAACGAATAATCGAGGTCTTGGATGCCAACCTTGCTGCTTCCCAGTGAACAATTCTACCACGTTTCCTCTAGTTGCCCTTTATATATTCATTTTTATTCGTGGAAATTGTCACCTGAGAAATATTTTCAAATTGGAACGATTTCTGAAGAGACCAGTTGGCCAGATCTGGGTTCAAGTCCTTGGACACATTGGCTGTGTCACCTTGGACAAGTCAGTTAATTTATGTATCTCTGTTAATACTCATTTTAAGGAGCAAAGAAGCTGAGGATGAGCCATATTAGGAGAGGAAGTTTTCCCACTGGGAAGTCCTTATTCCAGTTAAACCATAAGTCTGTGCTGTGTTTTTGTTGTTTCTGGATTTGAACTCCAGGGAAGATGAGCCTTCCTGACTTTGTGCACTGTATCCCCTGAGCCACCTGGCAGCACCTTCCATGCTGTATCCCTAGACCTGTACGGCAGATGTAATATAGCAGACATTTTAAAAATAACTTAATGTGTAGAAATTCAGAGTTCTATGGTAAACGATTTCCAAAATTTTTTACCAAATATCAAGTGCCTACAAGTGTCTACAAGGCATTGTGCCCGATGTTGGTGATACAAAGGCAAGCAGGAACTTCTCTGCCTGCAAAGTGCTTTTATTCTACAAAGGGAAATTAATTGGGCCAAGGTTAAAATGCCGCATTTTAAGCATTTCTTATAAGCGTGACCTTAATACCTGAACTTCCTCCCCCCAACCACAGAATCATTGGGTCGAAAGGGATCTTAGAGACTATATAGGCCAACCTGTACAGGAAAAAGAAGGCCCTCTGTAATATATGCAGCAAGTGGTCATTCAGCCTTTACTCATAGACCCAATGAGAGAAAGCTCACCGCTTCCAATTCCCTTTTAGATAGTTCTTTTAGAAAGTTTTTTCCTAAATTGACCTCTCTAACTTCCATCCATTACTATGTTTGAAGTGGGGTGAAATGGAACCAGTCAACCTGGTACAGTGGGAAGAGTGCTTGATTTGGAGTCAGAATTTCAGATCCTAGCTTTGCTCCCTTCTAGCTGCGTGACCTTGGGCAAATCACTTAAACCTTTCTGGGTCTCAGTTTTCTCAATTATAAAATTACTTTAACTTCTATTAAAATGATGACTTCAAAGATTCTTTCCATCTCTAAATTTATGATCCTGTAAGTGTAATTCCCTTTTTCACTTGACAACTTTTCAGATACTTTCACATACATTTCATTTACTCATAGGATCATAAATTTAGAGTTGGAAGTTTCTTTGAGGAAATCTAGTTCTGCTCTCTCATTATACAGATAATAAGTGACCTGCCAAAGGTCACACCAGTATAAAGTAGCAGTAAAGTATTTCTCAAAAATAGATCCCAGGTTCTCTCATTCCAAATCCTTTGACATTCTTTCTATGGCTTCATAGCTATCATGTAAATTTTTTTCTTCTCTGTACTCAGTTTCTCCAGATCTTTCAGTCATGTGGCAGGATATTTAGGCCCTTTACCATTCTGGGTGCCTTTGGATCTTCTCCAATTTATCCTTCCTCCAAGTATGGTGCCCAGCTGACATTCCAGATGTGCTCTGAGCAGAACCAAGAACAAGACTATCGCCTGCTTTTTCTATACTCTCCTGCACAAAATTTAGACTATATGCTTCTTGAAAGTAGAAACTCTTTTGCTTTTCTTTGTCTGTCCAACACTTAGCATAGCACCTGGCAAATAGTAGGTGCTTAATAAATAGATACTATTGATGAAAACAAAAAAACATTCTGGTCCAATGAAGTAACTGTTCATCTGCCCTTCTACTCGTCACCCTTCAAATCTACTACTACCTCAGGACCCTTAAACTCTGACCCAAGGTGGGGAAAGAGTTTTTTGGGTTTGTTTGGGTTTTTTTGTTTTTGTTTTTGTTTTTTTGCTGTATAAGAAAAAAAAGTATGAAACACTTGATAAATTTGTATGTTATCCTTATGCAATCTTCTCTGTATGATTCCAAATTTAGTATGTATGCTACTATATGTGCTGTTGAGGTGAGAAAAGATAATCAACGCTGCCCTAAGGCAGAACTGACTGGTTGGTGTTCAGAGAGTGAGTGCTATAACATGCCTTGCTCCTCCATAATCAGCCCTAGGACTCTACAGAACTTTGCCTTGACCACCAGAACCAGCTACCCTACTGCCATGCATGTTCCCAAGCCTTTCTAACCTCTTCCTCAGGTTGGTTGATAATCATATCATTATTGCTACTGTAAGGAGCCTGCAAATGTACTGCCTTAAGAGTTCTACCCCGTATTCCTGAGATTCTAAGCCATAGGCTGCCAACACCAGAACTTTCTTCCCTAGCCACCAAACCCTACCTTTTCATATCCATCTGTTCTTCACTAGGACTGACTCAAGATGGTCTGGTGGCTCATGTTTGAACTGGAACAAAAAACAAGCACTCATTGACCATTTAACAAAAGGAGATTTATTTAATAATATGGAAATTATATTCAGCAAGGCTACAGCATTGATTCCTTTGAACCCAACTGTGCCGGTCACGCCGTGCACTCTCCTCCTATAAGGAGCAGGCTGTCAGAGTCATACTTACCAGTCTTCGGTGCCCACCCAGATAAACACAGAGACGAGCCCGATCAGGAGGTGCAAACACTCGAGCTTTATTCAGAGGCCACCACAGCAAGGCCAAGCAGGAAGGCCAGAGCAAGGGAGCAGCAGCAAGAGAGAGCGAGCTCCGGTCTCTACTGTTCCTTAAGTAACTACTTAGCCCCTCCTCCTCAGCCCGCCTACTAGTCATTGATTGTAGGATCAGATACCGGAAGGGGATGTCTGGGTTTAGCGCACCAAGGGAGAGGAAGTGACTCAGGAGGCTAGGACCGGATACAAGAAGGAGGCGTCTGGGTTAGAGCTGTACCTAGGGAGAGGATGTGAGCCAGGAAGTCAGGAAGGAGATGTCTGGGGTTGACGTTGTACCTAGGGAGGGGACTAGACAAAGGGAACTCGTTCTCTGCCGTCCCACTCCCACGTGGCACAGCCCCCTGCCTCAGGAGCACGTGCTCCGGCTACTTCCTTGTATCCTGTTCCTTCTCCAGCTTATCACAGCTTCACATAGCACTGCCCACTGCCTCGGGAGCGTGAGCTCCCGTTACTTCTCCATATCCAGTTCCCATCCCAGTTCACCACAACTCCCACTTGGCAGTAGCCAACATCAGTCAATCCCTCACACCCAACACCACTCACTCTTCATTTGCCATGGTGGTGTCTGATCAGAAGCGTTTGTCAAAACTAGGAAACCCCTGGACTCCTCCTAAGCTGGACTTTTGACTTATTCAACCAAGAGACTTTGTCAGCAATTACAGCCTTAGTCCCTGGATCTATTAAGTCTCAAGGATGACTTTATTACCTTTTAGAGGAAGACTAGCCTAGCTTATGTCATGGAATATGGAGCAGAATAAGGATGAGAAATCCTAGGTTTCACCTCCCTTTGGAATGACCAAGTCCCAGATCTTAATGAACTGGTAAATGTGAGTGATTCCAAATATTTGCATTCTACAATGGGTCTGCTAGTGTAAAGTTGTACATGGAGAGCATAGATGATAGTTCTTACAGCACAGTTATCCATTCTCATCAATGGTCAGTTATCTCCAGTGAGATAGCTAAGAAGTCGTTATTGTTTTGCTTGCAGCCTCTTGGTGCTGGGCTCGTTTTATGGAGACGCACAGTGTGCTACCACCCATCCAGTGTTTCCCAGCCCACCTGGCAGGATCTTCCCCTCTCTGAGAGCCCCATTAAGAGGGAGGAGGGAAATGCCAAATCTTACCCTTTATAAGCCTCAGCTGAAGAATGCTTCTTTCGTTGGGGTTGGATAGTTACACAGAAACAATCTCATCTCTTCCCAACAATTCTGCTTTGTTCTTCAGGGAAAAAATTAGCTGCTGACTACTTTATATTTATTGTACTGGCAGCAATGTGGAGGGGCCTATGAAGTTCTAGATTATAGTAAGCAAAAGGTTACATACAAAAGTTCTACCAGTGCTGCTATCACAGCTTCACTGCCCCCACTACCAGGTCTTGAGCTGTCTTGCTGCCACCCTTCCTGCTTCTGTTACCTTCAAATCAGGGTCTTACAGACCTTGGAAGTTCCATCACATTGATGAGGTCAGAAATGGTTAGGAATAGGTCAGGAAACTGTAAGGAGTTCTGACCAGTCAACTAGGTCTGACCAGGGCTTGGAGTTCCTATCATGGTCATACTCTGTGATGCAGAAAATCCTCCTGCTGCCTGAGTTAGCTCTGACTGAGGAACCCAGGAGCTCCCAATCTCTCCAATCCAACTTGCCACCAAAGCTATGA